CGTGAAGTGCCGCGGGGCCCCGCTGCAGCCACACAGTCACACCCTCTACTTAGGGTACTGCGCGTTCATCTGTTGGGTCATTTTTTTGACATATCCTCCCCAGACTGGAACTCCATGAAGGTGTGATGAGGCGTACTTTTGGTAACCTCAGCGTCCTCTGGCAAAAAGTGGGCACTCAATAAACATCTGGTGAATGGGCTCCTGACCTGTCCGAATTCTGTGTTCGCCCTGCCAGCAGAGTGGCCTTAAAATGTCAATCGGGTCATGCCACTTCCCTGCTTGTACTCTACAACTTCCTGGAGATGTCCAGCTAACCCCTTTGGTTCGTCACAAATTGGACCCACTGCTGTCGCGTCCCCACTGCTTCAGCCATCCTGAAGGACTTACGGTTGTCCCCCGCCTCCCTTTTTGTGTATGTTACTCCTTCGGTCTCTTCGGTCTCGAGTGCTTTTCCACAACTCTTTCACCAGCCAACTCCAAGGAGTCCTTTGGAATTTGTCTCTGGTCGCCTTTTATTTTTATTTATTTATTTATTTATTTATTTTTGGAGAGGTTTTTGCTATAGGGCGCGTGTGCTCGCCAGAAAGACAGAGAGAGACAGAGAGATAGAAAGTGAGAAATCACCCCCCAGGGGGGACAGCCACGCCGCAATCCCTTCTCCTCCATTCTCCTCTCGGGATCTTGGGCATGCATGCACATGCGCCTGGCGTGAGTTTTAAGCCACTGGGTCGGGGACTCAAACCGTGGTCGGCTACGTGGGAGTCCAGTGACATAGCCATTACACTAACTGCTTGTCCCATCTGGTCACCTTTTTTGAGAAACCCTTCCTGGATTTGGGTTCGAGATCCTCTTCCGCATTCCTCCAGCACAGCATCAGTCTCTGCTCACCATACCTACTTGGTTCATTCAAAATGTCGCCCCATTTACACTTCGAGCTCCTTGAAAGCGGGTGTTACTTTGCTAACTCTCTGACACAGGACCCCAGACCCTTCTGTGTGCCCACTTTACGTCAGTGTGCATCAGAATCTTCCATGGGGCTCTCTGTCACTCCTGGACGGTACTGACTAGGCCTCAATAGCCCCCACACCTGGCCTGGTGCCACAGGGCAGTTCTGACACGACAGAGAGCAGCCATAGGGACGTGACACTCCATTGCTAAAGCTTTCAAGGATGAGTCATATCAGAGTGACAGAGATTATGATTTCTGGACCTGTTTCATAGAACTTTTGGAGAGTCAATGAGATAGTACTTCATATTCATGCCAGAAACATGTGCATGCGTGCACAAGAACAGAAGAGGAGAATGGAGGAGAAGGGATTGTGGCATGGCCATCCCTGCTGGGGTGTGATTTCTTGCTTTCTGTCTCTGGCGAGCAAAAGCACCCTATAGCAAAAATCTCTCTCTAAAGAAAAAAAAAAAGGAAGAAAGAAAGAGTACTTCATGCTATTAGAAGATTAGAAGTCTTCTGGGTATTGTAGGGGGCCAGCAGGTGGTATGGTGGTTAAAATGCTAGACTCCTGGCTTTCTCTCTCATTTTCCCTCTCTCTTTCTCTGTCTCTCTCTGGTGAGCACATGTCCTATAGCAAAATTTAAAATAATAATAAATTAAATAAGTAATTCTTTTTAAAAAATCTTCTAAGGGCCAGCAGGTGGCATGGTGGTTAAAGCACTGGACACTCCCACATGGCCGATCATTGTTCAAGTCCCAGACCTGGCGGCATGCTTTCTCACTTTCTCTCTCTCTCTCTTGCTCTCTCTCTTTCTCTCTGTGTCTCTCTCTGGTCAAATTAAAATGAATGAATAAATAAAATTAAATAAATAACTCTTAAAAAAAACAAGTCTTCTGGGTATTATAATCTATTTTGTGCACCAATCAATTCTATCTGCTGAGATAAGCAGAGACTAGGTTTTATTTATTTATTTTTTATTGGAGGAGAAGATAAGGTTTCTAATTAAATGGCACACCTTAAATTATACAATGAACATGGGGTACACCCAAGATTCAAAGGAAATGAAATTTGTTCATCCACAAGTCTAGCACTCTATCAGCAAGATTTTATTAGACAAACTGAAAGCTTTCAGACAAATGAACTTTAGAAAGTAATCAAATTCCAACCTAGAGTCATTATAAATTGATGATTAAGGGAGGAAAAAAAGAAAAATCCAATTGTCAAATGGTTGCTTAGAGGATATAGAAAGGTTATGACTCTTTGTACTCTTTTTGAACATCTCGTTGTTATGGTTTGAACATCCCCACCAAAACTCACTGTGAAACCTAATTGCCATCATGAGATGAGGCCATTAAGAGGTCATCAGGTCATAGGGCTTTGTCCTCATGAGTCACTTAAGCGTTGTTATCGCGAACGGAGTTGGTCACACAAGCGAGCATGTTATTAAAGCAGCCCTCCCTTGCTCTCTCTTCCACACTTTTGCCAAGGAGTGGCCCTCGCCAGGGGCCAGTGCCCTGCTCTTGAACTTCCCAGCCTCCAGAGCTGTGAGCTGCAAAACGTCTATAATTAGTCTGTAGTACCCTGTTACGGCAGTAGAAAACGGACGAAGACAAGTTAGTCATGTCCCCTTAGAGTTTGCGAAGTCTCTTTATACACAATCACAAACCCTGACATTTTGAACGACAGCGGACTACACAGACAGTGGTGGGCCTGTTGACAGGTGGGAGAGTGCCCAGCTGCGCTGTGAAGTCCTTGGATCTTTGGGTCCAGATCACTAAAATCAGAGATCTGTCCGTGGGTGCAAAATAAACTGCAACTATGAATGAAGTAAGTAGAAAAGAAGATTTAATAGAAAGAAAAGAAGTACACCCAAAAGACTCTTGGGCGAGCAGATTGCCAGGTGGCCACTGTGTTTGATACTGGTTAATCGTTACTTTTTTTTTTCTCTTCTTTTTTTGGGGGAGAGGTTTTCGCTATAGGGCGCGTGCGCTCACCAGACAGACAGAGACAGAGAGACAGAAAGCGAGAGATCACCCCCCAGGGGGGATGGCCACGCCACAATCCCTTCTCCTCCATTCTCCTCTCGGGATCTTGGGCATGCACGCACATGTGCCCGGCGTGAGTTTAAGCCACCGGGTCCGGGACTCGAACCGCGGTCAACTACGTAGGAGTCCAGCGACATAGCCATTACGCTAACTGCTGGTCCCAATCGTTACTTTTATTACTAGGCGTGATCATGAGTATTCACTGGAGGGAGGTCTGTCACACTCCCTGTGTCCTTCGTTTGAATTGGAATCCACCCGTTTTCTCCTGCGCTTGCGCTTCTCTCACAGGTAAGGAATGAGGAATTTGATTACCTAGTTGCGCATGCCCAGTGTGAGCCAGGCTGTTTAATTAGACTGCCTGATTAGTTTATAGTCCTAGTGGGAAGTAGGGTGTTGACCAAATCGCTTACTTGGGGGTTAGGGTGTTGACCAAAATGCTTGCTTGAGTCTTTTTGATAAGAGAATAATCTAGAAATCATCCCTGTAGGCCCCAAGGAAGGAAGATGGCAAATCGCCTCGCCCTCCTGGCGCCCGGGGCTCCGTGAGCCTTTCGCTTTTCTCTTAGGGCTGCCCGCTCACGGCTAACTGCCTACCACAGTCCCATAGGAGCGTATAGACACTACCAAAAACCCTACGTGTGGCAGGCTCATGTAAGTACACACTGTGACGTTTGCACAACTAAGTCACCTAACAAAACATTTCTTTTTTTTTTTTTTTTCAGTTTTACCATATGAAGTTATTCCTTAATTTAAAACAATGTTAACTTGTAGGATTTTTCACAGAGGATTTATCTCACTGAAAAACTTTGATCATGATAGGATGATACATTTTGTCAAATATCAGCTGATCACATATTTGTTGATAAGAATCCAGACACAAGAGAGTACAAACTGAAACCAGAAGATGCTCAATCCCAGGCCTACCTAGCCTGTGGCATAGAAATCACAGTGTTTGTTGTTGGTAGTGAAGGCAGAATTGACTGGAAATGGATACAAGGAAATTGCTTAATAGAAATGTTGTATAAAGAGACCAGCAGTTAGCGTAATGGCTATGTCGCTGGACTCCCACGTAGTCAACCGCAGTTCAAGTCCTGGACCCAGTGGCTTAAAAGCCGGTGACTGTACGCGCCCTATAGCAAAAACCTCCAAAAAAAAAAAAAAATGTTGTATACATTGGTCTTTTTTTGAGGATACAAGGAAATTGCTTAATAGAAATGTTGTATAAAGAGACCAGCAGTTAGCGTAATGGCTATGTCGCTGGACTCCCACGTAGTCAACCGCAGTTCAAGTCCTGGACCCAGTGGCTTAAAAGCCGGTGACTGTACGCGCCCTATAGCAAAAACCTCCAAAAAAAAAAAAAAATGTTGTATACATTGGTCTTTTTTTGAGGGGGGGATTAAACTTTATTTTTAAAAAACCAAACCACTAGGGAAATATATCACAGCCTTGAAACAGCAAGCAGACAGGCTATATTATCACTTCAAGTAATAATCTGACAAAAAGAAAACAAGGTCCTTATCAAAAGGACAGGGTGCCACACGGGGCAGGAACACTGCATGCTGCAAAGGCCC